TTCTGCAAATTCTTTCTCCCCTTCTACATCGACGGCACTTGCTAGTTGTCAGTTGCTGACACCTAATTTGTCCCTTATGGGGGGTGGGACTGGTTTGGCTTATTAGAACAGTGTGTAAAAACGGAATAAGTCAGATCCCCAGGGACTTACTGAGGGAAAGGCACTGGGCGTTCCACGCTTGGGCTTTGTGACATTTCTTTGGGCCGCTGGGTTAAATTAATTTGCTTAAAGCCACATCACTGGTAGAGGTGGGGACTGGGAACAGGGGTGTCTGGACCCTCTGACCATTGCTCTCTCCTTTCCTGCCCCTCCCATTTTGGAGCCGTTCACAGAAGAACAGCGACTGCTTTCTGAGAGCCAGGTGGCACTGGCTGCTTCTCACTATCTCTGACTTAGCGCCTCCTTTCTTCACCTGTTACACAGGGACGGGGGCCTGCGGGCGGAGTCTGGCCAAGTCTCCCCAGGACTGGCCTGTCCACTGCTCACGTCATCGCCCCCTGGCCTTTCATACCTTCTCCTTGTACTGGGTGCCCCTAGCTCGGCACCCCCTTCCCCCCCAAAACACACACTGTTTGCTGCTGTGAGAACAGAAGGGACCTTCTACCTCTGTGGTCCCCAACCCCCTGGGGCTGAAGCCCCCTGATGCCAGTCTGTGACCTGTTAGGAATTCGCTGGACATCACCTCCTGAGCTCCGCCTCCCCCCTTTGCCCCTGCCACTCCCCACCCCCCCCACAATGGACAAACTGTCTTCCGTGGAACTTAGGAGCTGGGCCACAGCGGGCCAGCAAGAGAAGCTTCGTTTGTATTTGTAGTGGCTCCCCATCGCTCGCACCACCACCTGGGCTTTTCCGCCCCCCAAGCCCCCATCCATGGGGAAACTGTCTTCCATGAAACCAGTCCCTGCTTCCAAAAAGGTTGGGGACTGTTGCTCTACCCAACAGCAAAGCAACCTCTTCTGACAGAGGCCTTCAAGCCGGGTTCTCCCAAGCCCCGGGGCTCCCCAAAACACCTTCGTCAAGGTCCACCAGCTCCCCGAGCTGTGCTTTCCTCATATAAGAAACGGCAGCACACAATTTCCAAATCACAGGACCAAGGGAGAGATTGAATAAGATAATACACCAAAAAACCGTCACCTGGCCCACAGCAGGGGCTCAGCAAATGGGGATTTGTTCCCCAGGGTCTCCTGGGGAGTGAGGACTGACCCAGAACTTAGGCGTGGACTCTCCGCGCAGTGCTCTTTCCAAAGCATGAACGTCCCAGCTGTCCCTGACAACTATCTTCTCTCCCATTTCAGGGGCTAGTGTAGGCACACCCAGGGGGTCAGGGAATGAGGTGTGTCCCAAGGCCACCGTGATAGCTCATGTGGCTAAACAATTTCCCGTAGGTCAGCAGCCAGAGGTCTTTCCACACCCACTCCTATGATGGCTCCTGGCTTTGCTGGCTGCCCCACCCTCTCATGGTAAAATCCAAACCCCTCCCACCGTCCAACAAGCTTTTCCTGATCCGTCGGACCCTGGCGAGCCCCTACACTCACCCCCTTGCTCTCTAAACCAACTACACCCGTCTCCTTTCTGATCTTTGTGCATGCCATCACCCCCAACACAGGGCCTTTGCACCAGCTGTCACCCCACTTTTTGAAAGACCTCATTGCCAATGTCACCTCCTCCAAGAGGCTTTTCCTACCTGCTTTATCTCGCCCCACCAACACCCAGTCGCTCCATTCTCCCTGTTTATGTCCAACACAGCACTTAGCCAGATCTGAAATTATCATGTGAATTGCACTGTCTCCCGTACGTCTGCTTGAAGACCCCCGAGTTCCCAGTGCCCAGCACGCAGTAGGCACTCAATAAGTACCTGCTGAATAAATACTGAAGGAGTGAAATAGATGCGTCACTGCCCCTGTCTTACAAGTATGGAAACTGAGACATAGAGAAGCTAAGAAGCTTGTTCCAGGCCACACGCTTATGAAGCGACAGATTTAAACCAGACCACTGGATGGCAGAATTCACACCGTGATCCCCACAGCTCGGGAACCCCAGGGGCCCAGACTCCCACGGGAACCGCGCTACCCCATGCGTTAGAGGAAAAGGAGGGCGAAGACCGCGGGGCAGAGGCCAGTTTCAGGATTACGAGCCCTGACGAGGGGCTGCTCTTCCCAGCACGGCGCTGCCAGAGCTGGAACGAGAAACTGAACCGAGCTCCATGGGCGGGGATCGTGATTCTTCCCAGCTGCTCGCCGGGCCCCTCACTTCTGGGCTACCAGGACCTGCTGCACATCTGGCTGTGGTCTGGCAAGCTGTGGACATAGGGCTGACTCATCTGCCCTGTGACAAGAAGTCACGTGTGCCTAGCACTTGCTCTGTGCCTGGCACTTTGCTCTGGGCTTTGCACACATGGCTGCTGTGTGCAGTACCAAGGGTCCAATGCTCATTTTGCAGATGGGGCAAGTGGGGCCCCAAGAGGGCAAGTCGCTTGCTCAAGGCCCCACGGCTGGGAAGCAGAAGGCCTGGAGTGGGAACCTGGCCCCACCTTGCTGTGGGGTCTGACTCCTAAGGGCTTCACACCTCCTGGCTGCCCGTGAGCTGGTGCCCAGCCCTGTGGGACCAGACGCTTGTCAATCAGCACATTTCCTTTTTCTCTTCTGGCATCTGGATTTGGTTTCATTTTAAACTCAGGATTTCAGAAAATGAAACCAAAGGTAACTGTCACCGGTGGCCACGTGTGCCTAGTTTATTCCCAAGAAGCTCTCCTCCTCCTCCTCTTCTTCCTCCCCTGCCATGCCTTCTCTGCCTGTGCTCCCTGGGCTAGGGCTCCAAAAATGGACACGAGGGGTGAAGCCACGTGTCTGTGGGCTCCAACGTGCTGCCACACCCACAGGCACCCTCCGAAGAACAATAACAACAGCAAACACCTCCTGAGTGCTTATTATACGCCAGGGGCTCTTCTCAGCACCTGACCCATAATCGCCCATTTAATCCCCAGCACAATCCTAGTAGGGAGGTCCTATTATTATCCCCATTTCACAGATGAGGAAGCCAAGGCAGAAAGGTTAATCACATGCTCAAGGTCACAGACTAGAAAGCTGCAGAGTTAGAATTGGGTCTGAGTCCAAAGTCTGGCTTTTAATTACATATATATGTGTACACACACACATATACATATTTTTTTCTGGAGATAGGGTCTCAATCTGTCACCTGGACTAGAGTGCAGTGGCGTCATCATAGCTCACAGCAACCTCAAACTCCTGGGCTCAAGCAATCCTCCTGCCTCAGCCTCCCGAGTAGCTGGGACTACAGGTGCATGTCACTACACCCAGCTAATTCTTTTTTCCTATTTTTTTGTAGAGATGGGGTCTCACTATGTCACTCAGTCTGGTCTCAAACTCCCGGCCTCAAGCAATCCTCCTGCCTCGGCCTCCCAAAGTGCTGGGATTACAGGTGTGACCCGTCATGCCTTGCCTGCTTTATATTTTATCCATCACCCAGTACAGGGTGTGGGCCCCAGCGGTGCTCAGTCGACATCTCCAGAATGACCACAGCACCTGACCCCTGGAGCACACACGACTGCGCACCTTCTCTGTTACCGCCTGGCGCACGTGCCAAACAGCTACATCAGCGACTATCACCAGCCCTGGCCACACACACAACTTCAGGGAGCTGATGGGGTCCAAGCCAGGCTGATTCTGGGCCACCCCCTTTTCACCAGCAAACGCAGGAACCTGGGCTCTGCCTGGGGGCGCCCTGGAGTTCTAAGGCTGAGGACGCGGGAAGAAGGACCTGGCACCAGGACTTCGGGCAGAGGAGCCGTCTGGGCTGCATCTGTCTGAGAGCTGTCTGCAGAGGGCAGTGTGTGCCAGCGTAAGGCCAGTCACCAAGCCCCCGCCAGCCTGGTGAGTCTTTTGTGTGCCCCCTAGTTTCTGGGCCTCCTTACCGGCCTTCATTCACAAATACACGTACCAGCCAGGACCTGCTCCGTGGCCGTCCACGACAAACAGAAGCACTAAATCACACACGTGTACAAATCATAGCCCTGACCACCGAGCCTGCACCATCCGGAGCCCCAATGTGTGTGCGGTGGGGAGGGCGGGGGTGAAGGGCAAGTGCTGGATGGAGCAGCGGGAGGGGGACCCATGAGGTAGGGGTAGGGGGCGAGGAGGGCCAAGGAAGTAGGGTTTTTGATCACCACATCTGCAACTGCACCATTTTTTCATGGGTCGCCAAAGTGCGTTTGGAGGCGCCCGGCTGCTCTTTCTCCCCAAAATGAAAACAGGGAGGGCGAGAGCCGGGTCCGGAGCTTCCGATCCGCCAGCCGCTGCAAATCACAGCCCCTCCCCGGGCCAGTTTCCCCAGCTGTCGCAGTGGGAGAGCAGGGAGGGCGGCCGAGGCCGCTGGGGACCGTGAACACCCCGCCCGGTTTCCGAGGAACTCGGCCCGGCGTCGAGGCGCCCCTCCCGCCCCGCCGAGGCGTTCCTCCGAAGCCTGTGGTCAGGCGGCCGCTTCCTGGGAAGCCCAAACCAAGAAACGGCAATCAGCAGTCGACCGGCTCCGGGGCTACGCGGGGCGGGAGCAGGCCCGGGGGGGGACCTCCTGGGGGCTCCTGGAGGGATCCGGCTCCGGGGGAGTAGGGGACAGATCTGCCCCAGATGGGTGGGTAGGGGGCGTGTGTCGGGGCCAGTCCAGTGCTTCCCGAAGGGCCTGGCTGCAAAAATCCGGGACCGAAGGGCGCAGGGGCTAAAGTGGGGTCGCCAGGTTCGAAGGGGATGTCCAGAAAGTGACTGAAGGTTCAAGGCCCCTGGATGCAGCGGTGCTAGGGCAGGTGCTAGCGAAGTCCAGCTGCAGGACCCCCAGCGAGAGAAACCCGGAGACCGCAAACAACTAGCAGATGACAACGCCACGACGGAAAGAGAAACCGAAAGTGGCGCTGGGGGCGTATCCTGCAGGGGGCGTGTCCTGCAGGGGGTGTGGCCCCCACGCGCTGCCGGCTTAAAAGACTGGTGCAGGGGCGGGCGCGGAGCAGAGCGAGCTGCGGCCGTGGCAGCTGCACGGCTCCCGGTCCCGGAGCATGCGCGAGAGCCGCCCCGGAGCCCCCCGCCGCCCCGCGCCCAGCCGCCAGGTGAGCCGGGCACAGGGCAAGGAGGCGGGAGGGAGAAGGGAGGAAAGGACCGGCGGCCAGCAGCCGGAGCCGGGCTGGCTCGGGGGCTGCGTGCTGGGGTCGCAGCCGCCACGCCTCTGGCACTCGCCGCCCCCCTCCCCCCGGCCCCACCCAGGCCGCCCCCCGCGCGCGCGGGGTTCCCGCAGCGCAGTCTTTCTGCTGCCTGTTCCCAAACCGCCGGGACCGGGCGCCGATCCCGGACTGGCCAGCAGGCGGCGGCCGCGGGGCGGCGAGCCGCGGGCCTGACGACTGGAGCCGGAGCGGGCTGCTCTCGGTCACCTCTCCACGCCCCCCTCTCCGCTCCCCAGAGGTGGACTCCGCCCCCCGAGCCCCCGCCACCGGGAAGGGCTCCGCGGACCGAAGAGCCCATTTTCTAGCTGAGCCCGCCGAGGCTCAGAGGAGCCACGCGCACTTGGTGCTCCTCCCGCGCCCCTCCCGCGCTGCCTCGCGGCCGCTCACCTGCCCAGCCCCGACTCCCCGGGGCGCTGCGGCTCACTGCCTCTGTCTCCCCATCAGCGCACCCCCGGACGCTATGGCCCACCCCTCCGGCTGGCCCCTCGAGTAGGATGGTAGCACACAACCAAGTGGCAGCTGACAATGCAATCTCCACGGCACCAGAGCCCCGACGGCGGCCAGAGCCTTCCTCCTCTTCCTCCTCTTCTTCCTCCTCCTCCTCCTCGCCCGCGGCCCCCGCGCGCCCGCGGCCCTGCCTGGCGGCACCGGCCCCGGCCCCGGCCCCGGCCCCGGCCCCCGGCGACACGCACTTCCGCACGTTCCGCTCGCACGCCGATTACCGGCGCATCACCCGCGCCAGCGCGCTCCTCGACGCCTGCGGCTTCTACTGGGGGCCCCTGAGCGTGCACGGGGCGCACGAGCGGCTGCGCGCCGAGCCCGTGGGCACCTTCCTGGTGCGCGACAGCCGCCAGCGGAACTGCTTCTTCGCCCTGAGCGTGAAGATGGCCTCGGGCCCCACGAGCATCCGCGTGCACTTCCAGGCCGGCCGCTTTCACCTGGACGGCAGCCGCGAGAGCTTCGACTGCCTCTTCGAGCTGCTGGAGCACTACGTGGCGGCGCCGCGCCGCATGCTGGGGGCCCCGCTGCGCCAGCGCCGCGTGCGGCCGCTGCAGGAGCTGTGCCGCCAGCGCATCGTGGCCACGGTGGGCCGGGAGAACCTGGCGCGCATCCCCCTCAACCCCGTACTCCGGGACTACTTGAGCTCCTTCCCCTTCCAGATCTGACCGGCCGCGCCCGCCGTGCACGGAGCATTAACTGGGGCGCATTGTTATTTTCTATTATTAATTATTATTATTTGACTGGAACCACATGGGTGCCCTCCCCGCCTGGGTTGGAGGGAGCGGGTGTGGGGGCCAGTCGCCTCCCGCTCTCAGCTGGAGACGAGGCTGCAGACCCCTCCTCACCTCTTGGGGATGCTTCCCTCTGGTGTTCCCTCTGGGTCCCCCTGGTCATTGTAGCAGCTTAACTGTATCTGGGGCCAGGACCTGAACCCGCTCCTCCTACCTCGTCATGTTTACATACACCCAGTATCTTTGCACAAACCAGGGGTTGGGGGAGGGTCTCTGGCTTTATTTTTCTGCTGTGCAGAATCCTATTTTATATTTTTTACAGCCAGTTTAGGTAATAAACTTTATTATGAAAGTTTTTTTTTTAAAGAAAAAAAAAAAAGGTTTCTAGAGCGTGTGCTTTGGCCAGAAGTTTTTCTTGGTTCTGAACATGTCCAAGGGAGAAGGGTCCTAAGAGTGACCTGTTCAGCTGGAGGTGGCATGGGGGGCACGTTCTGTGGCTGGGCACCCTGCACAGTTCCACCTACGACTGACAGGGACAGAAAGCAGGGGTCTGGTTTTGCTGTGTGCGGGGTAAGATGGCAGCTCACATATGAGCACATACTGTGTGCCAGCCCCTATTCTTTACTTTCTATGCTTAAATTTACTTAATCCTATAGAGATACACCCGTGTGAAGTACAGGCTCTTACCCCATCTTACAGAAGAGAAAACCCAGTAATGGGTAAATTTGCATGCACACACCCGAAGACACTCAAGCCTTTTTTTGGCTGTCCACCCCAGAATCTGTTTCAAATGGATGACAGAGAGGAAACTTCTTTGGTTCTATGAGCACAACAACTTCCAGGAAGAGCGTGGGGGTTGGGTGGGGGCTTGGTGAGCGTTTGGAAGTGGCACATTCTGAAATGCCATCGAGGGAGACGTATTTCACATGGGATGGGGATACAGGGCTGGGTCTGACTTCCTTTTCCCCCACCCTGTTCTGTACTTTTTGGTGAACACATAACTTGGAGCCAGAAAGAGGCTTTGTGGTCTGTGGTGGCAGGGGGCCCTGCTGGTGGCTGTGGGCAATTCCCTTTGCCTCCCTGGGCCTCCACTTCTACCTCTAAAATGGACAACTTTCTGCGTGTGATGGGGCAGGGGGAGGTGATATTTTCAGGAGCCAGGGGAGGAAAGGGTCAGTCCAGGATGCTTGTGGGGCGGGCCCATGGCAGCAGCAAGTGCCCAGGGCATGGGTTTGATGGCTGCTCTTGTGTCTGTGGCCGACGTGACCGATGGGCCATGCTGGGAACTCACTGCTGAACACGGTGAATTGAGTTATTTTCAGGCTCAGGGTTAAGCAGCCTTGTGGACATGTCACACTTTATCTTCAGAAGTTAGAAGGGCCCTCTGCAGCCTTGGACGTGCTGATAATGGAGTGTGCTAATGTTTAATAATACCTTTCAGACTCGACAGTGTGGCATAAAATTAACTGGATGGTCCAAGAGCTGGAGCTGCCCAGGCTCGTCTGGGGGAATAAATAGGTTCCAGGCCTCAAGGGTTAGAAGAGATTTAGGGTCTCAGAGCTGTGGCAACTTCATCCTTTATGAGGTGGGGTGGGAGGGAAGGAGGTGACGTCCTGCCTCTACTCGCACAGAATCTCTGCTTTTTATTTTTAGCCACCCCCTGCCCTTCCTTCTCCACTGTGTGGATTAATTGAGTCCTGTCCTTGTTCTTTCTTTAGCTGCTCCTGCCACCCCTCACCCCAGTCCTGGCTGGTGCCTGGGAAAACGGGAAACATCCCAGAAGGCAGTGTTCGGGGTCAGGTTATGATGTCAGTTATAGCTGCTGGGCCCGCACTGCCCTGTTTAAGCCTCACAGCCACCCTGTGAGTTAGAAACCCCTCCCCCACTCCGTAGGTGGGAAGACAGGCCCAGAGAGGCCAAGTGGGGCACACAGCAAGTGGCAGAGCCAGATTTTTCAAACCCACTCAGGACTGTCTGAGAGGCTGGGTCCCACCAGGCCACACAGTGCTCTGACGTCACAGTAACAGCAGCAGCTGTTGATGTTTACATGTGGCACGCTCTCTGCCGGCGCCGGTCCCAGCTGTCTAGTCACTAGTTCAAGCATTCAGCCTCGCCCCGGCCTTACAGTTTATTTAGGTGCTATCAACAACCCATTTTACAGATGAGGAAACAAGTCCGCCTCTAAAGAGGGGTGAATTGGCAGGTAGCTTATGGTATGTTAAAGGTTTTTTCCTTGTTTGAAAAAAGTGTAAAAATCCTATTTTCATTCCAGAAGTGATGGATACGCAAACCCATTCCCCTTATGAAACCTGAAGCGGAACAGCTTAGAATAAAGGCTCTAGTCATACTCCACAGCTGGCCCCTTCGTCCCTTCGAGAGTCATTTTGGGGGAAAAAAAGTCTATACTAACATATGTACAGTGAGTACATATGTTAAAAGCCCCCAGGAAATGCGATCCAGGCCCCGTGTGACCGAAATTTTGTGCAGGCGCCACTGAAGGGGAGAAAGACTGTGTGTGTGTGTGTGTGTGTGTATGTGTCTGTGTGTGTGTCTGTGTGTGCGCGCGCGCACGCCCACCATGTGGCTTCCTGGGTGCAGATTCTCTGTCTCTCTCTCAAACCTCAGCTTCATGATTCAGCAGCGCTGACGTCAATTTACAAGAATGAAAAGTGAGAGGAGGGTTTGTGTGTGCGAGGGCCCGCGTCGGGGCCGGTGCGGCGAGCGTAGGTGAGCAGCCTGGGGCACGCACAGGAGCAGCTCTTTGGAATGACAAGGACTGCGTGCAGGTGCACAAACAGCCCTGGACCAGCATCAAAGCCGCCCCTGAGCTGGGGACTCAGATGAGGAAATGGAAGCTCAGAGACGCGCAGTCACCTACGCAAGGTCACACAGCTCAACAGTGACTTGCACCAGGTCCACCCCACTGCAAACAGGACGGGTTTCTGAACTGGCGGGGCACGGGGTGGGAAGGGGGAGGAACCCTGTGAAAACGCACTCCCAGGTCTCACGGCAGCCTCCCCAGCAGGTGCCGTTACTGCCCCAGGGAGCCGAGCGCTGAGCCTCTCCTCTCAGCTAACGGGTACGGAGCACTTGGCACAGAATGTGGCATGCAGCAGGTGCTAACTACACCTCTGAAGGACGAGGCGCTCAATAAATGAGGTTTACTGAGGTTCCGATAACGTGCGCTCACTGAGCCCGGAGGATACAGGAATGGACGGAACAATGTCTGGTCCCTGCGCGCGCGGGCCTCACAGGCCTCGGACAGTAAATAACTATATATGAAATAAAGGCACAAGAACATTCTAGGAACATGGCGACAGCGTTCAGATGAAAACTCAACGGGGGATCGGACAGCGGGTGTGGCTAGTTTAGAGAGAAAGGGCAGGAAGGCTCCTCCTAGGTGACACCGAAATTGTGCCCAGAAAGACAGGAAGGAGCCAGCCAGGTGAGGGCGGGAGGTGGGCGCTCCAGGCAGGGGTGCTGGGTGAGGACGGAGTAGAGGGAGAGGAGGTGGAAGGGGTGGGCAGGGGCAGAGCACTCGGGGCCCCGTAGGCCAAGGTGACAGTGTGGATTGAAGTTGGATGGAGAGCTTGGGGGGACCAGATCTTCTGGCCGCAGGGTGACATGGGCCAAGGCTTCCTGCGCATGTGTAGGAAGGGAGGAAGCGCATTTGTGGGGGGAGTTCATTCTCAGCCAGACCCCTAAGCACCAGCCAATCGGGCCCCAGCAAGAGAAAGCCACAGGACCTGTCCCCGGGATGAGGCCAGAGTGGGCCAGGCCGCAGCCAGAAACCCGGGTCTGAGCAGAGCCCCAGCGTGTGCACCCCCAGAACCCAGTGAGCTTCTTGGGGCAGTGCTCCCCCGTGCAGCGTGGGGCCCACCTCCACTCGGGGGGAGGCCACACAGGACCCGACAGGTGGGTGTGGCCAGGCCCACCTGGATGCCTGCTTGGCAGCCCCCTCACCTGGGCAGCCCCTCGCCTGGCCGTCACCTAGAGCCTCCCCAGGGCTCAGAGCTTTCCAAGAATAATTTGGTGGGCCTGGGGGGGCTCTCAGGGTCCCTCGGAGAGGGGAGTGCAGTTTTCATCAAAGCAAATTCGCACGTGACAACAGTGCCCAACGTGGGCACTCAGACTGCCTCTCTCAACCCTGGTCCTGGCCCTGGGACCCGACAGACATCCCTCATGGGAAACGGGTCCTGGGCTTTGCAGTGGCCGTGTGGCCCCCGTGCAACCGCATCTGCCCGCCTCCTCCCCCTACGCC